AAATTTTATTTCCAATATGTACTGTTTTAAAATCACAAACATACCACAGAAGAAAAAATAAAAAAGATAAATAAACAAATGTTAAACAGTAAAACGTCATCGTTAATACATTTCTCCAAAGGTACTGATTAACATGTCATCATTCTAACTTCCCTCCACCACGATTTGAGCTGTATCACCTTATTACCTTTCTTGCATTTCCTTCTTTCAGCCTTTAAGATTACTTCGCAGATTCTATAATTCACCTACTGTTATTTTAATATTATCCAAATTTCTTTCCATATATAATATAAATTTCTTCCAATCATTAATAAAGTTTTTGTTACTCTGGTGCCTAATCTTCTGTGTCATTATTGCTAGCTCTGAGTACTCAAATAGCTTGTTTTGCCATTCACTAATAGTTGGGATTTTAGGTGATTTCCAATTTTGTGCATTTTGATTGGCTTTCATAGCTTGACAGGCAGGCTTACTTCCAAGTCAATCCGGCTTGAATCTGTGAAGAGTTCACTCAGCATTCGTTTGCAAGGATAATTTTTTCTTTCTTTCTGCTTCTCTCTTCTTTTTTTCCATCATTTTTTTAAATAATAAAAAAACCATTTTTAAAAAGTCTCTTTCTCAAGTCACCTACAGCAGGGGCAGCTAATCTGTGGCCCTGCAGATATTGCTGGGGCACAAGTCCTCTCCTTTCGAGGTTCACATACCTGCCTCAGGAACACCTGACTTTCCATTTCTCTCTCTTTTCGAAGGTTCCATCATGGATGTCAACGCCACTGCCCTGTGGCCTACCAGTGTCTCCTTGCAGCTGCCTTCCAAAGCTAGAAGCGAAGAGAGCAAAATAATGGACGCGATACAGATCTTCTTCTACAGCGTGGTTTTCCTGCTTGGCTCCCTCGGCAACGGGACCGTGATCTGGATCACAGCGCGCCAGGTCTTACGTACTGTCAATTGTGTTTGGTTCTTCCACCTAGCCCTGGCCGACTTTCTGTTCTCAGTCAGCCGGATAGTGCCACTGATGAAGAACGCCTTCTACGAGGGGTGGCCCTTTGGGAGCTTCCTGTGCCAAGCCAACAGCTTCATCAAGTACCTCAACATGTTCTGCAGCGTCTTCCTCCTGGCTGCTATCAGCTTGGACCGAGCAGTTTCCGTGTCCTACCCGGTGTGGTTCAAAAACCACCGGGGGCCCCGCATGGCATGGCTTGCTGCTGCTGGGGCCTGGTTTGTGGCTACTGCCGCAAGCCTTCCTTTCTATCTTTACCGAAGAGTGGTAGCAGAGAAAGGTAGCACCAAGTGTTCCCTCGCCCTGGGGGACCAGGTTTCAGTGAAGTGGGCCTTGTATCTTCTGAGGTTGGTCTGTGGGTTCCTGGCTCCCTTTGCCATCATTGTGGTCTGCTATGGGATCATCACGGTGAAATTGAGGAAGCGACAGACCACCTTTCGCTCCAACAAACCCTTCAAAGTCATCTTGGCTATTGTGGTCACCTTCTTTCTCTGCTGGGCACCGTACCACATATTCCTCATCCTCAAGCTGGTGGGAGTGAAGGGTCAAGGGATGTCCATTGGCCTTCCCCTCACGTCCTCTCTGGCCTACCTCAACAGCTGTGCCAACCCCATCCTTTACTTCTTCCTGGGCCTGGACTTCCACAGGAAGCTCAGCCGTTTCAACTTGGTTGGGGCTTTCAGGAGAACTTTGCTCGAAGAGAGCGGCTACTCCTTCAGAAGGCCTAGCAGATACCAGAAGGAAGCTGCTTCATCCGTCGCTGAGCCGGTCCAATCGAATGTGGTTGATAGAGTGCTGTGAGCAAATTCAAGGTTCTGGAGACTTGTTGGCTTGTGAGGTCCATGTGTCATCGTTTGCTGAAACAGTATTAATCCATCACATTCCTTACCAAATCAAATTTTGGACTGCCCGTTTCTGCCGCAAATTGTGGAGTAGAATGAAATTTCACCTTGTGGTACACAGCGATGTTTTCTGAACATTTTCAACTGGGAATAGCGGGTGTAAGGTTCATGGCAGATCCATTTCTTTATCCAGGTCAGGTTTTTCATTATGCCCCGGACTAAGCACAGATAAGTCCACCCCAGGATTTATACTAGACTGACAGGGCAAGGGCAGTTCTGGAAAGAAGAATGAGAGTGCACCCTGGGGCAAGGAAGGAACTCTAGAATAAATCCCTATACCTACTAAGCTTAGTCTGAATGCTGATTCTTACAGTCTCAGGTCTCTGAACATAACTTGTGTGTGTGGTTGTTTGTGGTCTTTTGCCCTATCATTGGGTCTGAAAGCAAATGTAGAGTCACTTGAGGGACAGAGCTCTGCTTTTGAGAACCAGGCTCTGGAAATGGATTGAGGACAAATTTCCAAAGTTCAGCTTAGCAAAGCTGGAAAACCAAGACCCTTAAAAACCTAGGGAGAATGTTTGAATGATATTGCAGACTCCCCCCCCCTTCCCTGAGCAGTGAGACTATCCAGGGAACCAGGGCTTCCTGGGTTTAGGTGAGTCAGCATTGGAGACTTAGAGTGTCTTTGCAATAGATGCCTGCAACAACAGCCCTGCAGAATCAAAAAGTTGGAAGACCTGCTCTGGTTGACAGAAGCACGTGTGGTCTGAAGCTGCGCAGGGCGGTGTCTACCCACCCCTGAAGGATGCTTAGAACTTCTGCTGGCATCTGGGTTTTTTGAACAGCACCTCGCTCCTCTTCTCTCCTCCGTGCCATGTTGCTAAGCAGGTTTAAAGCACAGTTGCTTCAGAGGGGAGTGATTAAAAAAATGTACCTGTGATGGTGCAAAAATATATTAAATACAGTCATCAAACAGGCTTCCTAATCCTGGGATTGTAGAAGTTGCTCAAAAGAGACACACCTCTCCTGAGGATTAAGCGACGGCTTTGCTCAATGTTTCCTAGCGCACAAAACAACTTATTCATCCCGCTTCCCCAGCCCAAATAGGAGACAGGCAGTCTTAATCATGCAGGCTCTGTTTCTGAGCTGTTTTGTTGTAGGCGCTGCTGTCTCAAGGAGAGTCCTGCTGGGTCACATTTACTCCAGCATATTGTTCTCACAGTAGCCATCCAGATGCCTATTAAGGAAAGCCTGCAACAAGGATGCAAGGGCAGTAGCCCTAGTACACCATTGTTTCACAGTGATATATAGGCAGTATAACCTGGCTGTCATATAATATAACCACCATGTCTGGAAACCTATTTGACAGTCCTAATCGCCTAATTAAGCTACCCAGCTGGTGTCTGGGTACCCACCACACCTTGCATCAGAAAATTCCATATTTTAACTATGTGCTATATATGAAGGAGCTTCCTTTAGTCTGTTCTGAATCTCCCAACATTCAGCTTCATTGGACAGGCCTGGGTTCAAGTCCCACAGCAATGGGTTACTGGAGAGAAAAACCTAGTCGAGTGACCAGGGCCACCTTCACACCAAGCCAGATGATACCACCTTAAACAGTCATGGCTTCCCCCAAAGAATTATGGGAGCTGGAAATTGTTAAGGGTGCTGAGAGTTGCTAGGAGGAACCTAGTCCCCTCTCAGAATTACCAATTCTCAAGCGTGGCTTAACATTCAATCCCACTTCACAGGGAACTCTTGGGATCAAAGTTCTGTGAGAAGAGACTCGGGTACCTTAACAAACTACAGCTCCCATAATGCTTTGGGGAGTTCATAACTGCTTAAAGTTGTATCATAGTGCTTTAACTTGGTGTGAATGCAGCCTAGGACTAAACCAGGCATAGGCAAACTCGGCCCTCCAGATGTTTTGGGACTACAATTCCCATCAACCCTGACCACTGGTCCTGCTAGCTAGGGTTCATGGGAGTTGTAGGCCAAAAACATCTGGAGGGCCGAGTTTGCCTATGCCTGGACTAAACCATCCCCATTTCTCGGCACTATATGTAGGTGGTGACATTTTATGTGCTGGGTATATGCATTTCACTGACTATTCTTCAGACGTGGACGAAAATTCTTCGACAGTTCAGAGAAAAGACATTTTCCACCTCCCCCATCTTTCAGAATGTTGAAGGAAGCTCTTTTGCTGGCTCATATTGGGGGATGAAGGGAGTTGTGATCAAAAAGAGAAGGCAGGAAAGAGAAGGGGCAAAGTCTGTTGAGCAAAAGCAAATTGCCTATAAACGAGGCTGTTTGGGGTCAGTTAAAGATGTGACTGAGGCAAAGGGGGGTTGCAGGTCCTCTGTGCAGTGCTATGCAAGGGCCAACAATCAGCTGTTTGTCAGGGCTTGCGACATGCTATCTGTGGACCTTGCAAACAGTGACAATCAGCTGATTGCTGAGGCTTGCACAGTGACATGTGGCGTTTCACAAGCTGCAGCAACATCCGCGTGGGCAGGAAAAAGGCATCACTCAGACACCTGGCAATTGACAGGTATGAGAGGAGCCATGGGAGGCAGAGACACTCACAGGAATGTGGGAAGCTGTCTTATAAACTGCTTTGAGGCTCTTTTTCAAGAGGTGTACTACTTTTATGAAATAAATAAATACTGAATGAGGCCGTTGGTCCATCCAGCTCAGTACTGCTGCCACTCCAACACTTAGGTAGGAGTTTCTCCCACGCCTACCTGGAGATTGGACCTTGTACATGCAAAGTTGATGCTCTGCCACTGAGCTACGCTCCTCCCTCAGCTGCTGCTGCTCCTTCTCCTTGTCACTGTGCTTGAAGAAAGCAGGTGAGCAGGCACCGGAAGAAGGTTGAAGAGGGAGGAAAACTGTTGGGGAGTGGGCCTGGGCAGGTGTCTCATGATTCCGAGCCCTGATGACATCAACCCTGATAGCAGTCACTTGTGCACAGCAGATGCGTAGTCATGGGAACAACTGGATATTCCGTGTAGTGGGTACCAAAATAGGCTCTAGCTAGTGCCTGGTATACTTCAGGATTCGACACAGAGAAGTTTGCAGGGGGCGGGAGGCTGGGCAACTTAATTATCACGAGTGAAACCTTCTTATTGCAGGAGGGAATAACTTGAGTGACATTCAGATCTGTTTCCACTTTAAAGGTTGACACAATAAATAGCCAACAGTTTTATACATGGTTGCCCCTTTAAGCAGTGTCCCAGGTATTCCAACAAAAGAAAGAAAGACCGAAGCACACAATAAATACTAGGAGGTCTATACAGCGTGGGCAAGATGCCTTGCTTTTCCACATAGGGGGTGCAGCAGAGTTTTACCCCCCCAAACACACATATTAAGAACCTCTTCCACAATCCAGTCAAACCCACGTGATTGCAGTGTGACAAAAACACTACTGGGGAGGGGTGGAAATGCCACATGGTTGAGCGAGTCTAAACAAGTAGCAATGATGGAAATAAGATGTACTCCTAAGGGTTACAACCAGGACCAAATCTCAGCTGGTTGGGGCTAGTGCAAGCCATGACGTTTACAAAACCAGCAGGAGTCTACTTGTGACTCATGGAACGTCCAGCGAACTCATAAAATCCACATGAAGTCCAGATGATTTGCTTTGTTCGGCAGGAGCTACAAGTTCCAGAGAAGTTGGTTTTTATCCTTCGGAGTGGAAGTCACTTTTATTTATAGAAGAGTTTCCATCTGCCAAGACATCGCCCTAAGTCTTTTCTGATAGAGAGGATACGCAGAACTCTCATTTGAGCTGGTCCATTAAAAAACAAACATCAGAATTCAGGCAATTTGTATGAACAAAACAGGCACGGCCAACCATTCTTATTGACTGATTACCCTGTTATAAGGTACTTGGATTCCACCCTGTTGTTCCAAAGATCAGACAGGCCGTACGGCCTTCTGACCGAACATGAAAACACTTGGCCTCTCCCGTCTTGCCATCAGTCTCTGTCCTGGGAAGGAGCCATATTTTACAGCCGAGGAGTCCTCCTTGGAAAGAAGTGCCAGGCCCCATAGTCAAGCATGGGGAGCCACGTGTCCACAGCAATCGAGGCCCATCAGTAGCGAACGTTCTCCTCTGCCGCTGTGACAATCGCATCCATCCAGATACGCATCGCCTCCGGGCTGGGCGCCACCATGCAGAAAAGGCGGTCGTAAGTCTTGACACAGAAGGTCATCTTGGGGCTGGGGCTCTGGCAGAGAGGAGAGTCGAAAGAACAATGGAAACACAAAAATTTCTCATGGTGCGCTTTTTAGAAATCCAACCCTTCCTCCTCCAAGGACCTCATGGCAGGGCACGTGGTGCTCTTTCAACACCTCCCCCCCCGTTTTCTTTTTATCCTTATTGCCATTTTGTGGGGTGGCTGTAGGTTCAGTAACAGCAGAGCTGCTTTGCAAAGCAAACCACATCTCAATGGTTGGAGCAGGTGCTTTGCACAAACCCAATTTCTGCAGACTCCATGAAAAAATGGATCTAATATATTTTCATTTTTTAATATCATCCACTCTTTAAGTCATACTAGGCATGCTGCCTCATAATACAATTTGAGGACTGGTAGTGCAAACCCTCCTCTTTCTTTTATTTCCGTTAGCAGTTTGTACTTTATCCTTGGTTTTTTGCCCTGCCGTATAAATCTTGCCAAATCTCTCTGCCATTCTTTAAAGCAATCTAGTCCACTTATTATTGGGATTGTTTGAAAAGGAAACAACATTTTCAGTAGCACAGTCATCTTTATTGCAGCTATCCTTCCCCACAGTGATAAATTTAGCCTACTCTAGATTACACTGGGGTAGCTAAGGGGCAAGGAACTGAAAGCGGCTCACCTAGCCTCTCTTATTTCACCCCGGGATTGTCCCTAGGTCACCCACACCCCCATTTGCCCAGCTTCACACTGTCCTTGGGTGGTTTTTGCTTAGCTGGAATGTGTCCATTTGTTTGTTTATTATCCTACCCCAAAGAACCCAGGAACTCTTCCCTGTTTACAAACCCTTCACCCCCAGATCTACACTCCTCAATGACCCCTGCTCCATGGCTTCCTGACGTGCTTTTGTTTGGCTGGAATGGTGTCCTTGAATTGTGTCTTTAAATGGTGATATTTGGCTGCCGTTTGCCTGGATGGAGAGATGCCACCTGCTACGGTATGCAAAGGTTAAGGGTCACACCTGTGGCTCCACCCACTCCCCCCCCCCGGTCCTGCCCAATGCTGGCATGTGGGCCCCAGAATTTTGCCTGTGATGGAACTTAGTAACATAAGAATCTGCAGCCCACGTGGTCCAGCGTCCTATTCTCACAGGGGCCAGCCAGAGTCCCCCAAGCACAAAAACACTCTCCCCTCTGCTGTTTCCAGAAGTGTTACTGCCTCCAAATGGCTAGTAAAGCCACCGATAGCCCTCTCCTCCACGAATTTGTCTCATCCCCTTTTAAAACTATAGGAGCTGGTGGCTATCGCTGCTTCTTGTGGCAGCTAGTTCTAACTATGCTCTGCATCAGGGGATTTCACGGTGAAGAGAGTTTTAAGGGGGGGGTCTGCTTTTTGGTACCTTAAAAGCACTGCGGAGGTGGTCGTAGTATACCTCTTCGATGGCCTGGAAGTAAATGACGCCCTTAAGCTTGGTCTCCTCTTTGTCTGCAACGAGAAAGAAGCAGAGGGGCACATTAGGAAGCTGTGAGCAGCAGGGGAAATCCAAACAGAGGACAGGCATGAATTTTTCAGGCACATCACATTGACCCCTTCACATTGATCCCTCCACATTGACCCCAACACAAGCATAGAGGCATTCTCTAAGGGAATATCGGACATTCCAGAATTGGGTGCCAGCTGCAATTCCTTGGGGAAAATAGTACTGGGTTGCAGACTGCAAAACTTTAATTTCTTCATTTTTATTTTTTTATTTTAAAGAGAGAGTTTCTAGTCCTTATGTGAAACAAGTGAATTGCTATGGCTTAAGAGAGGAAGCCTGGTGAAATTCAAGAGCCTGAGAGGGAGATGAATATGCTTTCCAGTATATTTCATTTTTGTTAGCAACTTGCTTTCCCCATGGATGATGATGATGATTTTCATTTTTTATGCTTATATGCAAATTCTCACACGCAAATAAGAAATATGCAAACAGACTTGATTTGTATGTTCTACACATACCAGCGGTTTGAGCTTCAATCAGCCTGGGGAGATTAATGTTGTGTGCAGACTTTCGAGATCAAAGGAAGGTGCTTTGTTGCAATAAATGGATGCTTCTGCCACCTCACCCCACAACACAAATTGCGCAGGATCTGGATCAGTGCTGTGGCAGAGTCAAAGGGATAAAGCCCACCCCAAGGTCCTGATCCAGATTGGAGCCATGCACTGTCAATTTCTGAAATTGACTGGAAATGCAAGGGAGAAATTAAACCAGGGACCTTCTGCAGGCAGAGCAACTGTACTCCAACAGTACATAGCTTTCAAAACTGGGGGAGCCAAGAGCCATTCCAAGCAGCAGGTTCTGATAACAGGTGAGCACCCCCCACCCAAGTAGCTAATCGGGGGATAAGCAGGCTCACCCCATCCTCTAAAAGGTGCCAGTCTTTTAAATCTCTGCATGCAAATGAAATAAAGGTAAAGGTACCCCTGACCGTTAGGTCCAATAGCGGACAACTCTGGGGTTGCACGCTCATCTCGCTCTGTAGGCTGAGGGAGCCGGCATTTGTCCCCAGACAGCTTCCGGGTCATGTGGCCAGCATGACTGAGCCGCTTCTGGCAAACCAGAGCAGCACACGGAAACGCCGTTTACCTTCCCGCCGGAGCAGTACCTATTTATCTACTTGCACTTTGACATGCTTTCGAACTGCTAGGCTGGCAAAAGCAGGGACCGAACAACGGGAGCTCACCCCGTTGCGGGGATTCGAACCGCTGACCTTCCAATCAGCAAGCCCTAGGCTTTAGACCACAGCGCCACCCGCGTCCCATTGCAAATGAAATAAATACATCCAATTTTGTTTTTGTTTTTCATTTCGCCAGAGAACATTTATTTCAAGTTGGACAGCTCTGTAAATGCAGCATAAGACTCTTAATGTCAGGGTCATGGGTTCAAGTCCCACATTGGGCAAAAGATTCCTGTATTGCAGGGGGTCAGACTAGATGAACCCTCATGGCCCCTTCCAGCTCTACAATTCTGACTCTATGGACATTTTTGCATGCACTTCATGCATGCTTGGGAGTTTTGCTCCCAGGTGAGAAAGCCTTTCTTCCACCCCACTTCAAGCCATAAAAAGTGGGAGCAACCTCCCAGGACCAGCCTGTTGGATCAGGCCACTGTGAGAACAGGATGCTGATCCAGGTGTGCTTCTGGCGTGATCCAGCAGTGCTTCCCTTGCATTTTGTACATGGCGGTCGGTCGTGGACTCTCCTTCTCACCTGCATAGTAGGCCAGGACACGTTTCTGACGGTCAAAGGTGAACCAGCGCTTCTTCCAGGTCTTGATCCTGCCACCCATCTTGACCAGGTAGCCTTTGCAGGACTTGTTGGTCACCCGCACCTGGGAGCAGGTGTCTACACTGTGCCCCGATGCCTCCAGGTGTTTGCGCAGGTCGAATGCGGCTGGTTTTTGCTCCCGGATCTCGGCTGGGTTAGGATCCTGCAGGACAACAAGCATGGCAAGGGTTAAATTTGGAAGTGGGGGTTTTTTGGGGGGGTGCGCGCGTTCAGAGCAGCCTGTACTCTGCGACTGCACCATGTAAGCACAAGAAGCCAAACCGGGCACAGAATTCAGTTTCCTAAGGTTCTCGGCTTTATGCTTTCGCCAAAGCAAGTTTCTAGTCCTTATGGAGGCAAAGAGAAGCTTGAAATGCATGTGAGCAAAGGTTGACTGTAAGTATCTGATCTGGTCACTGTGGGAAACCGGCTAGATTGCCTTTTGGCAGAGCTGTTCTTGCAATCTTATAATGAAGCCTCACGTTCTCAGGCTAGTGGGTGGGAGCTGAGCAGAATTTGCATTTGAAGCTTGACTGCCTTGTAGAACACATCTCTCCCCACTTCCTATATGCAAACGGCGTTTCTGGTGCGGAATGGGGATGTTACTTTGGGTATGAAATTCTGGCCTTAAGTGAAACATTACAGATATATCCACCAGCTTTCTTTTGGAGTTAGCCCACCTGACCTAGCATCGCCTACCTTGATTGGCAGCACCTTTCAAAGCAGAGATGCATACTTAACAACGAACGAGCCTAAGAAGAGCTTGGCTGCCGGATCAGGCCCATCTAGGCCAGCATCCTGTTCTCACAACAGCCAACCAGATGCCTGTGACAGACCCGGAAGCTGGACCAAAGGAAAAGAGCACTCTCCCCTCTAGCATCTGGCGGTTCCCTCGCTGCGAGAAGCCAAGTTACAGGGAACCAGGCAGAGGGCCTTCTTGGTAGTGGCACCCGCCCTGCAGAACGCCCTCCCATCAGATGTCAAAGAGAAAAACAACTACCAGACTTTTAGAAGACATCTGAAGGCAGCCCTCTTTACGGAAGCTTTTAATGTTTAACAGACCATTGTATTTTAATATTTTGTTGGAAGCCACCCAGAGTGGCTGTGGAAACCCAGCCAGATGGGTGGGGTATAAATAAATTATTATTCTTATTATTTTCAGAAGCATTACTGCCTCCAACCAGGGAGGCAGAGGACAGCCATCATGGCTAGCAGCCATTGATAGCCTTCTCCTTCAAGAATTTGTATAATTCTCTTTTAAAGCCATCCAAGTTGTTGGTCATTACTGCCTCCTGTGGAAGAGAGTTCCCCAGGTTAACTATGTGCTGCATGAAGAAGTCCTTTTGTTTATCTCTCTATAATAGAATTCAAACTGTAATACAATAAAAGAAACAAAGGGAGCAATATAATTACTATCGTTATTCTTATTATTTATTGATTTACATACCACTTACATGCCAAATGCCTTCAAAGTCATATTTAACTACATAACCATTAGAAGACACCTGGAGACAACCTTGCTTAGGGAAGCATTTTATAGTTTTATTATGATTTCATATATGTTGGGAGCCACCCAGAGTGGCTGGGGCAACTATTATTATTATTATTATTATTATTATTATTATTATTATTATTATTATTATACTATAAAATCAATAAATAATTAAAATACACAGTCATAGTTCCATTGGGGCATTAAAACATCCTGGCATCTTCAAGCAGGACTGGGAAACAGACTCTCATCTAAACCTCTGGGCAGGAGCTACTTAAATAAAAAGCCAATTAAGATATTTTTTAAAAATAAAATAAAATAAAGCATCTGCCACAGAAACCTTGATTTCACAGAATTCAAATTGCAATCCCATGAAATACAATGTAAGAAATGAAAGAAGCAATAGTGAAAAATCAATGTGAGTGTTTAATGAGGGCATGCCACGGACCACTTGAAGGATGCTTGTGGGCCACTCATGGTCCACGGACCACAGTTTGGGAACCCCTGACGTAAACTAAGGCTATCAATGGCTACGATCCCATGATCTCTATTTGCTAACTCCAGCTCGGCTCTGAATACCAGCTGCAAAGCAGCAAGAATGAAAGCGTGTTATTTACACTCCTGTCCTCCTTGTGAGTTTCCCGTAAGTGCCTGCTTGGGCACTGAAGGAAACAGAATGCCAAAGAGCAGATCAGCCTTTGGTTTGACTCAGCTCTTAGGAAGAAGCACGGGCTTGCTCACATGTTCACAGAAGCTACCTCCTCTGCTCAAAAAGCTGAATTGTTGTGCAACAAGCACACAGAGTGCAATGAGACAGTGTTTGCGGGAGGGAGGCTTGATTAATTTCATTGTACACAGGTTGTACATTGACAATAAAGGTATTATTATTCTTAAATCATTTCCCCATCCCCCTGAGGTGTATGGTGGCTGTCCGGAATGCGCTCTGTGCATGCTCAAAGTCCTTCCCAGTTCACAAGATGCATACCAGAAGCAAATTTGCAACAGGCTCCAGGCTTAGTCTTGGCAAAGCCTGTTTGAGCTCAAGCCACCTTCCCGCTGGGATCCAAAGACGAAAAGGGATTGTAAAAGCTCGTTTTTGATTTTGCAGAAGTTCTCCTACCTTGGTGGACGGGGGCACCTCCATGCGTTTTGCCTCCCCAGCTGCTTTCTTGGCCTCCTGCAAGGGAAGAGGGTTGAGCGAGCGATAGGCAGCGAAGCGCCAGCAGCCACAGGCATACCCCAAAAAAGACAAACATCACACGGGCACATGCACACAACCCCAAACCGCAAAAGATAAAAACCAAACGGACTCCCAGACTCCTCCCCTCACGCTCTCTCTCCGTGAAGACCAGGCGAGCAGAGAGCTGACATAGTGAAACCTGCAACTTCCTTGTCCTCGGAGGCACATGGCAGGCAACTTAGGTTACTCTGATTTATGTTCGCTTTCCCCCACTGCCTGCCCACCGGCTAGACCTCACTACTGACAAGATGTTGCGGTGTTCCGTCTCAAGAAAAGAAAAGGGAGTTGAGCAGAGCAATGATGCTGTTAGTTAATGTTAGATTCTGGACTTGACGGTCTAACGCCAAGGCTTCCTGCAGCTGTTACTGGGGAGTTTTGTGTTATGTTTGTTTTGTTTTCATGGCACAAAATATTTATAGTCCTATTCTTCTTCTTTTTTAATGTGCTGCATGTTATGTAGTGTAGTTTCACCCTGGGCCAACAGGGGGATACTGTATATAGTTTTCACTCAGGTCTGTAGATAGTTTTCACTCAGGTCCGCGGCAGTTATTTTAGGCGGGAACTCTGGGCTGTTGTGGTTACAATGTTGACAGCCGGCTGCCTATAAATACAGGCCGGCTGAGCTGTCGCAGTCAGTTCTATTCCAGCTTACCAGAATAAAGAGCTACTTGAAGAAATCGCTGTGCTGGCTGCTATGTCAACCCACGACTTAACACTGGCGACGAAGGTGGGATGGATGGACATCAGAGCACAGCCAGATGCGGCCAGCCTCTGAACTGAGCTGAATCACTGAGCTGAATCACAGAGCGAAATCACTGAGCGAAATCACTGGGCAGAACCAATTCAGAGCTGACTGTTCTGGCTAGAGCACTGTGTTCCATCCATCGCCCTTCACGCCGGCATCGGAATCATGGCTTCACTTGTGCCTCTACCGCCGTTTGCGCCAGCCTCTGAATCGTGGGACTCCTACCTCGCTCGGTTCGACTGCTACCTCCAAGCCAACGAGCTGACAGCAGTATCAAAGGATCGGAAGCGGGGCCTATTCCTCAGCCTCTGTGGGCCTGAGGTGTTTGAGACGGCCCGAGCGTTGGTTGCGCCTGAAGCAGTCCAGGCAACACCATGGGACACGATCCAAGAGAAGCTCTGCAACCACTACGCACCAAAGCCGTCCAAGATTGCTGCCCGCCATGCGTTCTACCACCGGAACCAGGCAGAGGGGGAGTCAATCAACAACTACACCACCGCCCTGCGACAGGCTGCAATGCACTGTGAGTTCCGAGACTTAGACGATGCCCTGATGGATCGAATCGTCTGCGGGGTCCGGGACATCCATCTGCAACGGCGCCTCCTAGCCAAGCCAGACCTCACGCTACAGAAAGCCATTGAGGAGGCTGTGGCCTCAGAAGCTGCTGAACGCTCCGCCCAGGAGATCCGCAAGTCCAGCAGCCTGCGTCTTGCTAGGGAGCCAGTTCCAGTGCATCATGAAGAGGCCAGCAGTGATGAGGCATCCTCCAGTGAAGACGATGACGTGCACCAGACAAAGCGGGAGCGCAGGAAGTTCCAACAGAAGTCCAAGGGCCAACCGGAATGTGCTGGCTGCGGAGGCAACCATTCCCGTGCCAAGTGTCGATTCAGAGACGCCATCTGTAGGAAGTGTTCCAGAAGGGGCCACATCGCTAAGGTCTGCCGATCGGCTCCGTCTGACACCCCCCCTTCATCGACTCGCAAGTCCAAGTCTTCACTCCAGTCTGCCAAGGAAAGTTGTTTCGCTCTCACCAACTGCCGCTGCCCGTCTGGAACCACGATTGGCCAAACCGACTCGCCTACGCGACGCAAGCTGAACGTCACGGTGCTCATTGAAGGAGCTCCATGTGACATGGAGATCGACACCGGGTCTGCCCTGTCCATCGTGTCATGGAGCACCATCAAAAGACTGGTACCCAGAGTGTCCAAAAGGCAACTCGACTCTCACCGCGTACACCTGAGAGACTACCAGGGAAACGACATTCCCGTGGTAGGCGTTGGCCGGTTCCGGATCGCTTTCAAGGATTTTTCGGGCCTGCTCCGGTTGGTGGTGGTCGAAGGTCAGCGGCCAAGCCTCCTAGGGCTAGACTGGTTTGATGCCCTTGGCCTGGAAGTCACCGGCATCAACTGCATCTCTAACGCAGAGACTGAGGGTCTGGTCAAAGACTTTGCCGAGGTTTTTGACGGCACCTTGGGCCAATATACAGGTACGCCCATCTCCTTTAGCCTTGATCCACAAGTCGCCCCCATCAAGCTAAAGCCACGCCGGGTTCCCTTTGCTCTCAAGGCTAAGGTGGACGAACAACTGGACAAACTGATCGCCCAAGGAGTTTTGGAGCCGGTTGACCACGCAAAGTGGGAAACCCCCATCGTCACGCCTGTCAAGCCAGATGGGTCGGTGAGAATCTGCGCTGACTACAAGTGCACGATCAACAAGGCACTTCAGCAGCACGCTTATCCGGTTCCTGTTGTCCAACACCTGCTGCATTCCCTGGGTGAGGGTAAGGTCTTCGCTAAGCTGGACCTTGCCCAAGCCTATCAACAACTGCCAGTCGATGATGCCACTGCTGAAGCCCAGACGATCGTCACCCACCGGGGGGCTTTCCGTTGCCGCCGGTTGCAGTTCGGGGTGAGTGTGGCTCCTGGCATCTTCCAAAGCCTTATGGAGCGTCTCCTGCAAGGGCTTCCGGGCGTGGTACCATATTTTGATGACGTCTTGGTGTCTGCAGACTCACACCAGCAGCTGTTCGAGCGCCTCCGTGCCGTGCTGACCAGGTTCCAGGAGGCCGGGCTCAAGGTAAAGAGGGAGAAGTGCCAGATCGCCGTTCCACAGGTAGAGTTCCTGGGCTATCTTATCGATGCCTCCGGTCTTCATCCAACCACATCCAAGATCCGCGCTATCCAGCAGGCCCCCACCCCAAAGAACAAAACGGAGTTGCAGGCATTCCTGGGGCTGCTGAACTTTTATAACATGTTCCTGCCCCACAAAGCCACAGTGGCTGAGCCTCTTCACCGACTCCTTAGCACTAAGACGCCTTGGGCCTGGGGTCATCGGGAGACGGCGGCCTTCAACGCGGTCAAGGCTCTCCTTTCTTCAGACAGTGTGCTGGTACAGTACAGTGAATCCAGGCCGCTGGTCCTTGCCTGCGACGCCTCACCGTTTGGCATTGGTGCTGTCCTTAGTCACCGTTTTCCAGATGGAAGAGAAGCACCGCTCGCCTACTTTTCCAGGACACTATCTCCGACGGAACGGAATTACAGCCAGCTCGACAAGGAGGCATTGGCACTTGTGGCTGGAGTGAAGAGGTTCCATGAATACCTCTATGGCAGGACTTTTGACCTCATCACTGACCACAAGCCACTCCTGGGCCTCCTCGCCGGTGATCGTCCAACTCCACCGGTCCTCTCACCACGCATGCTGCGATGGACTGTTTTCCTGGCTGCCTACCACTACCGGCTCATCCATCGCCCGGGGAAATCGATGGGCCATGCCGACGCCCTCAGCCGTTGCCCTCTTCCAGCATTTGTGGAAGACCCGGCTCCAGCTTCATCGCTCCTTCTGATTGAGGATCTTCCGGCAGCGCCTGTATCGGCTGCCACTGTGGCCTCCGCATCTGCCCAGGATCGCACCATCAGCCGGGTGCTCAACTGGGTGTGGAGGGGGTGGCCACAAGGGCCTTTTGCATCGGAGTTCCAGCCCTTCGCAACCAGACAACATGAACTCTCAGCTCATCGTGGCTGCCTGCTGTGGGGAGACCGCGTCGTGATTCCCCAGGGACTCCGTCAGCGCGTCCTGGAGGCTCTGCACGTTGGCCACCCGGGAATTGTCAAAATGAAGGCGTTGGCTCGGTGTTACGTCTGGTGGCCTAATATGGACGATGCCATCACTGCCTGGGTGTCCGCCTGTCAAGCGTGCCAGGAGTCGAGGCCTGCACCACCGGCAGCTAAGGGACACACCTGGGAGACGCCAAAGACACCCTGGTCGAGGGTGCACATCGATCTGGCTGGCCCCTTTCACGGCCGGACCTTTATGGTAGTGGTGGACGCCTATTCCAAATGGCTGGAGGTCGCACTGATGCCCTCCACCACTACCGAAGCTGTCATCCGGGTGCTGCGAGGCCTGTTTGCAACGCATGGGTGTCCTGATGTCCTTGTCTCTGACAACGGACCGCAGTTCACGTCAGGCACGTTTGAGCGGTATCTTTTGGGACTGGGCATCCGCCATGCCCTAACGGCACCCTTTCATCCATCCAGCAACGGGCAAGCGGAAAGAATGGTGCGCTCGACAAAAGAGGCACTGGCGCGCCTGGACCGGGGAGACTGGCATGAGCGGGTCGCCGAATACTTGTTCGTGCAACACATCACCCCTCATGCGGCCACAGGGAGGAGTCCTGCTGAACTGCTTATGGGCCGCCGCCTCAGGTCACCGCTCGACCGGCTACACCCAGACTTTGCCGTGGCTGAACCCCCAGGCTGTGCCAACGCACCACGGTCATTTGTCCCAGGAAACCAGGTCTTTGCCCGGAACTATGTGGGGGACATCCCTTGGGTGCCAGCCACAGTAGTGGGAGTCACTGGACCTCGCTCGTACCAGGTGGCACTCGAAGACGGACGCTTGTGGCGACGGCACATAGACCAGCTTAGGCGCAGGGTTGGGGACTTGGACACTACCGAGGTGCCCCCAACTGCGTTTGCGGCTCCAGAAGAGACACGTACAGATGGCGAGGCCCCACCTACACCTCCCTCGCAAACTGCCAGCGTGGAGCCGAACCAAGCCGTTTCAGAACAGACTCAGACCACTCCACTTGCGGAGGCTCCACCCACAGCAGCGGATCCAGGGGAGTTCGTTCCAACGCCACCTAGGGTCGCACCACAGCCTCAGCGAGAACTGTGTGGCCCTCCGGACTTGGCTACCAGTTCCCGGCGGTCTGGCAGAGTTTCCAAGCGCCCAACTTATTTAAAGGACTATGTTGTTGGACAGGTATCACTGTTGGTCTAAGTATGGGAAATGTAACCGATATGCTTTTGTGCTTAATGGAACCATTACGCGTAGTGCTGTATATAAGGAAACCATTACGATTGTAACTAACGCCTTATCTCGGTGGGGAGGGGTGTTATGTAGTGTAGTTTCACCCTGGGCCAACAGGGGGATACTGTATATAGTTTTCACTCAGGTCTGTAGATAGTTTTCACTCAGGTCCGCGGCAGTTATTTTAGGCGGGAACTCTGGGCTGTTGTGGTTACAATGTTGACAGCCGGCTGCCTATAAATACAGGCCGGCTGAGCTGTCGCAGTCAGTTCTATTCCAGCTTACCAGAATAAAGAGCTACTTGAAGAAATCGCTGTGCTGGCTGCTATGTCAACCCACGACTTAACACTGCAAGTTGCATGGAGCCCTTCCAGTAACAAGTGGCTAAGAGGCCTATTCATTAGCTAATGAATAGCAACCAATATGCAACTCCTAGTTATTTTTTAAACAATGCTTTGACATTCCTGCGTTCCAGGGGATTGGGCTAGATATCCCTTGGCAGTCCCTTCCAACTCTGCAATTCTATGATTTCCTCTACATTGAAACAAATAGCAGAGAAAGCATTACGTCATTAATTATGTTAAATTTGTAAAGTTGCATAGCTTAGCATAAATAATTCCCCATATTACATGAAACAGCAGGCTATGAAAGCAGCATTTGGTGCAAACCGAACTGCAGCAGAACAGAAATGGTGCCTCTTGCGACAGAGACAGGTCAGAAGGAAAACTGCTACCTTCAACACCCATGAGCACACCCAAATCTAGTGGTAGTCAGGCAGTCTGATTCCCCCTGAGCTTCATGGCTAAGTGAGGATTTGAACCCTAATCTCCCCAACCCTGGCCTGACGCTCTGCCACTGTACAACTCTGAATTGCATTTAGGTGCTTTAGCATTTATGGCCTCATATGCAAAGAGTATATGGGTGGTATTGTGCAACGGAACCCCATAATGCTGCTAATAGGGGGAGTCAGGTCCAGTAGATTTCCTGGACCTGGGTATGCATGTCAGTTCATTAACTGCCTTGCCCCCTACCAAATTCTGTCTCACCCCCAAGCTCTTTTTACATCAGAGAAAAATGCAGGCGATGCACATAATGTTTAGCTTGGTCCTCATGCTCTTACACTTTGGGGAATGCGTGTCTGTGTTTGTGTTTGTGTTGGGAGAACTGGAGAGACTTGTGGTATGTATACATGGGTGACATCTTCCCACCCACCCCAAATACCAGGGATTACTCTGAAACCAGAGGAAGGCCAACAATCTTGGCCTGGAATTCGTTGATCTGACTTCTTACCCTTTCCTGCAGCAGCCGCTCTCTCTCAGCCATGGCCTCCCGCACCCTCCGTTCCATCTCGGCCAACTGGGTGACACAGTTCCCAAGGCTGTCGGGAGACATTTCTGGTTAGCGATGGTGGAAGTGAACAAGCAGATATGTCAGGGTGTCAGCCTGAGCCTGTAGTTCAGGACTGGCTGACATGCTTAGCCCCTCCAGATGTCGCTAGACCACAATTCCCATGAGCCCTAGAGAGCACTGCCAATGTTGTAGCTGTAGTCAGAAACATCTGGAGGGGACCACATTGGCTGCCCTGCGGTGGTGCATCAACATCTGGAGGGCCACACACAGTTCTAAGTATTTCAAGAGACACAGCGCCTCTCTCCACCTCTCTCTCTTCCGCAGGAGGGAAAGTGGGAGATCTCATGAGTCCTGCTGGATCTGGTCAAAGGACCGTCTAGTCCAGCATCCTGTCCTCACAGTGATCAACCAAATGAGAAACCCACAAGCAGGACATGAGTGTGACAGCTCTTCCCACTCCTGCGATTCTCAACAATTGGTATTAGAGGCATATAGCCTCAAACGATGGAGGGAAGAACATAGTCACTGATCAAGCCAAGTAGACTTGCTAAGATGTATAAGACTGAATCAGATAAGTGCTGGAGATGCAATGAGGTTAAGGGTACGTTCTTTCATATGTGTTGGACCTGTAAAAGGGTAAAATAGTATTGGGAAATAATTCATAATGAATTGAAAAAAATGTTGAAAAGCACTTCCCCCCCAAAAACAACAACAACCCCAGTGTCCTTTTCATTGGGGATAATTCAGACGGAATTTCCCAGGTGTCCAAAAAAATTATTTATGTATGCCACCACTGCGGCTCATGTTTTGTCAGCCCCCAAATGGAAAGCAAGCAAGGTCCCAACTAATGAAGAATGGCAACTTAAACTGATGGAATATGAGCAACTTGTGGACCTAACAAATAGAATAAGAGAACAAGAAGAACATACATTTAAAGAAGACTGGAAAAAGCTTATTGAATATATGGGGGGGGGGAATTGTGTACACTTGAAAAAGTTGGCAGCATTAAGATAAATTCAACAGTGTAAATAAGTTTTGATGGATGCAATAATGGAATACTGAATGGTTTAGTTTATGTAAAATATGCAGGGATTTATATTATGCAAAATGAACCATGGAAAAAGAAGAAGGGAAGTCATTGATATTTTAAGGTTGTTTAAATGATTATTCTAAATTGTAAAACAGAAAATTTAATAAAAATTGTTTTTAAAAAAGAACATAGCCACTGACGTTCTCCACAAATTTATTCAATCCTCTTTTAAAGCCATCTAAGTCTGGGGCCATCACTGCCTCATGTGGAGTCCCATGGTTTAATGTACTAATGGAATGGTGCCTGCCGAGTGGAGAAGGCCGGCGTGCCAAGGAAAATGCAGCTATCAACTGGGGAGGTGTTTGTTGGGACAGGCTGAGATTAAGGAGAAATGGATGTGCTCACCTATAGGCTCCTTGGCTGGACCCTCCTAGCTGCCCCACAGCTCCTTGGCCGGCCAGCAGCTGGTACAGGGGGTTGTTGAGTCGTGAATATTGCAGGTTTGGGCTGCCTAGGTAGGGCCTGTTGCCCCCACCTGAGAGCTGTGCTGCCAGCATGCTGGGATCCAGAGCACCTGGAGGGAGAGAGGAGGAAATCCAAGGAAAGTGATTGGTTCAGCATCTCCCAAAAGACACAGGACACATGGTCCTCATCAGAAGACAGTGAAACAGACCATTGGTCCTCTAGCTCAGTACACTGATTGGCAGCGACTTGAACCTGGGAAATTCTGTATGCAGGGCGGATGCTCTCTCTCTGAGCTATGGCCCAATAACCCCCCCCCAAAAAAACCCTCTCTGGAAATTCTAATTTTGGATATAATTGGTCACAACATAGGGTTCAAACCCCACCCAGCCAGGATGCTCCCTGTGGAGCCTTGGACCACTCACTATCTCTCAACCTGACCTACCTCACAGGGTTGTTGTGAGGTTAAAATGAGAGGGGAGAACCATGCACACACCACACTCAGCTCCTTGGAGGAACAGTGGAGTATAAATGTACTAAACAAATAACAGGTCCATTTGTTTCCCTGCCGCACCATTTAGATAAAAGAGACCGAGTTCCTGTAAAACATCTTATTTCAAACCTCTTGGTTCACTGCTTAGGTGTGGTTTGTTTGTTTGTTTGTTTGTTTGTTTGTTTGTTTGTTTGTTTGTCAGCCACCATGAAGTTCAAACCATGCCATCAGTGAAAGAATGGCTGACTAAAGGCTAAGAGTTGACTCCCCCTGGAAAAATCATGGCTTCAGGTTGTTTTGGACTACAATTCCCATCATCCCTACCAAGGGTCATGATGGCTGTGGCTAATGGGAGTTGTATTCTAAAATGCCTGGCGGGCACCAGGTTGGGGAAAGCTGTCTTAAGAGATTGCAAAGGTGGGTTTACCGCTGGCCCATACTTTTTGGAGGAGAAAGTGGCTTTTCACATCAATGGGTAAGGTGGATAGCATTCACTGTTTACTGGAATGGGTGTTGTACTTTTCGTTTCATTGGATAGAAGTCAGTTTTGTGCTAACGTGATAACAACAACCTCTGCAACCAAAATGTCATGTATATGAACCTTACCCACCCACCTCCAAAAATAGTATTCCTTGAATTTTCCCCTTTTCCTTGTCTCATGCTTTCTGCCCACTCCAAATAACTGGTTGCTAGCTCATTTCTGGGCCCAATCCAAGATGCTCACATTCATGTTTAAAGCTGTAATTGACTTAGGCCCCAAATACCTGAAAGACCACCTCCTTCTTTGATTGTTGTAACCCACCCTAGAACCTTAGGGTGAAGGGTAGGTAATTAATAATAATAATCCATACCATGCATAGAGAGGGGGCGCTGTGCAGTCCTGGCCGTGAGGTGTTCTCCTCTCCTACGGGGGAGACTTGCGGTCCTCTGCAATCCAATTGATCCCTGGACAGAGAAAACAGGAAGGTAAGAATTAGGGTCGGAGCTCCCACTCCACTTCTCCCCTCATGCTTTGAAAAGAGCCAGGTTTTCGTTTGTTTGTTTGTTTGTTTGTCTGGTAATTTCTTAGGCAACTTTATGAGAATTACATCCAGTAAAATCCATCACACATAAGCAACAGCACTTACCTCTTGAGCACCAGAAATAGAGGGAATGATTCAACAACGTGGAAGAAGGGTCTATTAGCCACAAGTGGCATCTAACTTAACTTGTTCCTTCAATGGAAGGATTTAGAGCAAAATATACTGTGCATCAGGAGGCTTGGTTTGGTCAGAATCAAGTAATCACTTCTGCTAAATGAGCCACAACAGCTGCTAGAAGGCCATGAAAATTTGTGCCCTGGGCTTTTAAAATTTGTCTGCCCACATACTACCTGAAACTAAGGGGGCGCATTGGGTGCCAGATGTGAAATATATTGGCATTATTTTCAGCTCTCCTACCCCACTGGGTGCTCCAAATCCTTTACAGTGTGCAGGGGCTTCCACAGCAGATAAACCAATGTTTACAAATTGTTTCCCCAAGGCAGAGCCTTCAAAAATCTCTGCTTTGAAAAGAACCCCTTGTTTCTACTTTTCTCGTTGTTTGGTTAACGATTCCTTGCCAGAGGGAGGTGCTGCAGCTTTGTGTGTGAAGTTCCCCCATAGAATGATCCATTAAAACCCCAGGGGACAGCTTTGCGGTGAAGATGCCTTCAGGTTTTGACTCCACCTACCCTGGTTGACCACTGGATTCCTCTGGCCAGGGAGAGAGTTTCCTTTGCCAGCTGAGACTCGCAACAAGAGTTTCTCGGGCCCGAGCAATAGCATATTCCTGAATTATGAGTTATTTGTTGATCCTAGCTTGCTCCTCACACCTGACTCTGGTTCGCCCTCTGGCTGCGATTTGCTCTTTAGTCGTGACTGACTGACTGATCTCATGGCTCCTGGTTCACCTGCTACTACCTTGCAAGGCTCAGCCCAAATATTCCCCTTGTTGTTGTTTAGTCGTTTCCGCCTCTTCGTGACCCCATGGACCAGAGCACGCCAGGCACTCCTGTCTTCCACTGCCTCCCGCAGTTTGGTCAAACTCATGATGGTAGCTTCGCGAACACTATCCAACCATCTCGTCCTCTGTCGTCCCTTTCTCCTTGTGCCCTCCATCTTTCCCAACATCAGGGTCTTTTCCAGGGAGTCTTCTCTTCTCATGAGGTGGCCAAAGTATTGGAGCCTCAGCTTCACAATCTGTCCTTCCAGTGAGCACTCAGGGCTGATTTCCTTCAGAATGGAGAGGTTTGATCGTCTTGCAGTCCATGGGACTCTCAAGAATCTCCTCCAGCACCATAATTCAAAAGCATCAATTCTTCGGCGATCAGCCTTCTTTATTCCCCTAGCAAAGGGCAATCTCATATTCCCAAGTCTCTGTCCTTTTGCCCCATGAGTCACTGCCATGTCTACTAGCCACTATGACTATGCACTACCCCCACAGTCGGAGACAGTAATGTTTCTGAACATCAGCAGCTGGAAACCACAGGAGGGGAGAGTGCTCTTGCGCTCGGTTCCTGTTTGCAGGTTTTGTTCCATTGCAAGAACAGGAAGGTGGGCTGGATCCAGCCGGTTCTACTTGTGTTCTTATGCCAACACGCCATCTTTGTTCCAGAATCTACCTTGCAGTGGTGGCTGGTGCCCATTGGAACTGGTAGGGCAGGAGGGCAACAGGAAGTGGAACCACAGCCAGGGTCAGAAGGCAGGTATGTGAGGATTGGGTGAGGGCAGGCTGAGATTGATGAATGTGTCCCATTTGCCCTAACAGACCTCCACTGCAGCAGTAAAGCCATTGGATATCTGCTGCCTCTACTGCTGGTCCATGATCCAAAGCACCCTGAAAAGATGCAGATGCCTCATCCTCTCCCATCAAAGACAATGCAGATCCAAAGGAGCTATAGCAAACACCTCACATAACCTGGTGCCCTATGGATGTTTGGGAGTTGTAGTCTGCTAACATCCAGAGGGCACTAGGTTGGGTGGGTGGGGGAAGCGCAGCTGCAGAATCACGTCTGTACACATAAAAGGAAGATAAGACACTGAAAATCAACACAGACCAACAGGACAAGACAGACCTTGACAGAACTGCGGACGGAGAAGACACAGGAGGAGGAGTCTGATTGGTCGGAACCCAACACAATGACCTTCCGGTCCGTCTTTTGGGTGAAAGTGAGCTGCAGGGAGAGACAGACACAGATAAAAGGATGGAAGCGGTGTTTCTCCCCCCAACCCCCCCCCTGAAATCTAAATCAATCCTCTGTTGCTTTTACCACCAGAACCAATCAAAAAGGTGTGAGATTTTTCAGCACAGTCCCAGCAAGCTTTTCACATGTGGTCTGGCAGCATACACGGTAGTTTACATGACTCCCCTGCCCTCCTCCCCTGCAAGATTGGAGAGGCCGAGTTGACTTGCACAAATTTAACCTGGTTAAACTTCCCTAAACAGGGCTGCCTTCAGATGTCTTCTAAAAGTCAGGTAGTTGTTTATCTTTTTGACATCTGGTGGGAGGGTGTTCCACAGGGCGGGCGCCACTACCGAGAAGGCCCTCTGCCTGGTTCCCTGTAACCTCACTTCTCACAGGGAGGGAACCGCCAGAAGGCCCTCGGAGCTGGACCTCAGTGTCTGGGCTGTTTGATGGGGGTGGAGATGCTCCTTGGGGTATACTGGGCTGAGGCTGTTTAGGGCTTTAAAGGTCAGCACCAACACTTTGAATTGTGCTCAGAAACATACTGGGAGCCAATGGACCGGTGTTATATGGTCTCGGCAGCCACTCCCAGTAACCAGTCTAGCTGCCACATTCTGGATTAGTTGTAGTTTCCAGGTCACCCCTAGCCCTTGAATATAGGTTTGCTTGGTGCCCACACAACACACTCCTCAAAATGACTTTCTGTTGTATATTCCCATTTAACATGGATTTACCATTTCTGCAGAAAATCAGATCAGCACATGGAAATGGTGAGTCCAGATTGAACAGGGAATAAGAATATAAGGATGGCATTTTGGGGAGTACTAAAAAAAATGAGCACCAGGTCTTAAATTTCAGAAGGCTGCCCCCCTCTCCATGACACTTGTGTTTGGTTCATGCACTAAAGGGGCTAACTAGGAGTGGCACCTTCTCTCTTGCCCTGGTTTCTCTGTTGTATGCAACAGGCAGAAATTCAACAGGCACAGCCTCCCTTAGATTTGCACCATTCATTTATTCAAGTTTTTTATAGGCCACTCCTTTCTAAATGTTTTCAGATTGTTTTAAATACATTTTACAGTGGTGCCTCGCAAGACGAAATTAATTCGTTCTGCGAGTTTTTTCGCCTTGCGAATTTTTCGTCTTGCGAAGCACGGTTTCCCTGGGTATTAACGCTTTTAAGAAAAAGGAAACAAACTTGCAAGACGTTTTCATCTTGCAAAGCAAGCCCAGAGGGAAATTCGTCTTGTGAAGCAACTCAAAAAACGAAAAAATTTTTCGTCTTGCGAGTTTTTCGTCTTGCGAGGCATTCGTCTTGCGAGGTACCACTGTATTTTATTCCATTTTATTCTATTCTATTTTACGCTGCATTGTTTTACTGCATGGTTGCTTGCAGGCCTGGGCTTCTTTGAGGATGTCGGGTGCACAGATAGATAATGAATAAATAAGTAACTTTGAATAAATAATAATATTCATCCCGGAGTAGTTTATAATGCAATCTAAAACACAGCAATAATAAAAACGTAAGATCAGATCAATTAAAAGAAATACATTAACACAATGCACAGATTAAAGCAGGAATTAAAACAGCCACACAAATACTTCAGTGGCAATGTTTTAAAATGTGGGATTGCTAGGCTGGAGGAATGTTGAATTTATGCCTGTTATACAGCAGCAACTTTAGAGCTGAGATCTGGGGTCCCCCTCTGCCACCCCTGTGCAACAATAGCAGACTGCGCTTTTGAGCTGTGCACCCACCTGGGTACAAAAAAAACCACACAATCCTGGTTGATGGGAAACTTGGGTCACTCTCATACTGTCACTAATTTGCAGGTGGGATCCCATCACCGGTCGCACTATTAAAATAGATTTGGAGCTCTTGTAAAACAAATGCTTTTCCAAAAGCAACTGGACTTTTTACAGTAAGGAAAGTGATGAAGAAATGCACCAAAAGGTGGGGAATAAATAACATTTGCTCAAGGTAATGTTGCAAAACATCCCTGTAAAATAAATCAAAATGAATGCTCAAGAAACCCTATAACCTCCCCACAAAATTTTATGCACACAAATCAGGATGACCACTCAATAAGCAGGTCATTGGGAAGAGGATTTGGTCTTAGATGGGCACTGGTGGATGGAGAGACAAAAGGGAGTACCTGAAAGGGCTTACCTGAGTGACACCCTGCTTACTTTCAGAGGAGTCCTCTCCACCCTCCTCGGAATACTCCGGGCCCATGTCCATTAGGCGATTTTTCTCCTACACCGAGAACGACAACAAGTCATATATGTAAGGGTCTGGTGACTTCTGTTTAAGTGTATCTAAAGAAGTGTGCATGCACACGAAAGCTCATACCTATAACAAACTTAGTTGGTCTCTAAGGAGCTACTGGAAGAAATTTTGTTATTTTATTTTGACAACAAGTCATGTTGTCATACAGTTGCAAACGTTGCTTCAGGTCAGCTTGACCCATAAACGGATCTGGTGCCCCATTCATTTCCCCTCCTCCCACCACCCCACGTCTTCCTACTGTCGGTTCACCCACAAAGAATAGGTACTCTTCAACTGTCCCAGTAAAACTGGAATACCCCAATTTTTTTCGTGTGAGAACACAGTGCTCATTTTGGGTGCCATAATCTTGCTTCCCCCCCCAAAAATGCTTTTGGGTGCCATAATGATCTCACTCAGCACCCCAAAATATGCAATTTTGGGCACTGTGCTTCCATGCATGAGCACAGCCCTGGAAAAACTTGTCTTTCAGGGGCCCAATCTCATGCACGTAACGTGACTCGCATGGACACACACCTTGGTTTTTCACCTTGACGTTTTGTAAGGTATGAGAATAGCTTCATGGTGTATTTAGTGCCCTCCTTCCTCACAATAAAACCCCTGGTCTCCTCCACTGCCATTGGGTCTAGCGCCACCTGCTGTTGGGTTTCCTTGTCTTCTCCCCCACCCATCCCTATGGGAACCAGCCACCACTGAAGCCTAAGAGCCAAAACCTCTGCTTTCCATCCCCAGAAAGAAGCTTAGTGGCAGGGAACTGAAAGCAAGACTTTGCATTAGTTGTTATTGTTGGGCATGGGAAGCAGACTGGTGTAGGAGAACAGGGAACCTGGGATCCTGGGTGTTTTCCTGGCTTTCGGCCAGAAATTCCTTGCTGCGCCAAGATTCCTGGGAATTCCTTACCGCGTTGAGATTCCTGACGGCCTCGCCTTTCTCTTGCGCAAATCGCTGGCTCTCGCCCACCATTTGCTCCTGTGTCAAACGGGCCTGTCCTTCCAGCCTCTGCACCGTCCTCTGGATACGGGGGAGAGAACCTGGTTTAGAATCCTCAGACTTCAGGGCAACACAGAGCTCTATTGCACCTAGGATAATTATACACAGGGAGCCCCTCTTGTGTCGTGGTCAGGTGCAGTAGAAGCAAAAACACAACCCCAAGGTTATTGACTAATTAAATAACGCTTAGCTGATGACTCATCTGCCTTTTCACAGATTTAACTATCACGTGTGCAGAATACCCCAAGCTAAACATGGATCTTTTTTAGAAAGCAAAAGGTAGACAGGTGAATTGTGTGCTAACCTACAGCTTTAACAATGCTCCTTTATTGAAAGGAAAGGCCATCTTCTTTTTCATCCTTTATTTTATACATATCACAGCAGGGGGGAAAAGACAAATAACACCCTTCAAAAATATACTTAAGAGCCTCTAAGTCTTGATCCCTCTGTTTAAAAGTTGGCACCACTAGTTCAAAGGTGACTCCTGCATCAATTGAGCAACTAAAATTTCAGTTGGTCGATCTATTGATTGGACCAGATTTAAGTGTGCAGTCAAAAGAAAACAAAAGGAAAACAGAAGTACCAGATCTGTTTGTCGTTGCCTTGGCAAAGCAGCCTGGAGCACAAAAAAACACCCGTGCTACTTTTTAAAGAATAAATGTGTAAGAAATAAATGCTGCGCACATGAAAATGGCAGGAGAGGAATGTCCCTTCTCATCCTGAAATAAAAAACCCTGCAGCAGCCTTTGCACCAAACTGGTGCCCTTGAGATGTTTTGAACAACAACTCTCAAACAGCACTGTCAGGGCCCCAGGTCAGAGAAGGCTACTATAGGGTGAGCAGAAAGCCTGGAACTGGATTTGTGGGTCATCAAGACTGCCACTTACCTTCCTTTGGTTGATGCTGTTCTGCAGCTGAGTGATCTCTTCGGCCAGAGCCTGGCAGATGGCCTCCTTCTCCTCTTCCAACCGGCTTTCCCGCTCCAATTGCTGGAACTCCAGATCTTCATAGCATCTCAGGGCTCCATCTAGCATCTCAGATGTCTGGGTAGAGAACCAGAGTCAAGATAGACTTCTGGGTCCCATCACTTATTGCCAGAAGGACCCAGTGCCAGATTCCCACAATTTGCAAGCCAGTAGAAGTTTCTTCCTGGCTTGGATTTTTTTAGGCCTGCATTGTGGAGACCAGCCTTCCCCAACCTCCTGGTGCCTTCCAGATGTTTTGGACCACAACTCCCACCCAACCCAGCTGTGGTATTGGGGGCTGATAGCAATTCAAAGCCCCCTAATTAGGGGAGCCCTGTCCTAGATTTCACCACTTGAGATCGTAGGTTGGGAGAAACCACATTTTTAAATGCACACGGCACAGAAAACCCTATTAGAAACATGCAAACACAAGGAGCTGCTGCCTTATACTGATCAGACCACTGGGCCCATCAAGCTCAGCACTGCCCACACTGACTGGCAGCTCCCCAAGGTCTTAGCCAGGAGGTGTCTCCAAACTGTAGCTGGAGACACCAGGGGCTGAACCTGTGATCTTTTGCACGCATGTGTTCTGCCAGTGAACCACTGCCCTTCCCTAAAGGTCTAGGCTACAGCCCTTCTCTCCCTGATGCCTATCTTCCTATAAGCAGAGAGTTTGATGCATGTCTTCAAATCGCACCATCTGCCCCACTTGCTGTCTAAAGTGGTAGCAACCAAAGAGAGAAATCACACAATCTGACCTGCTTTTTGCACGCCGCCATACCAGACCTGTTTCTGGCAGCTCCTTGCTGCACACTCACCTCCTGAAGCTGCTTCTGCATCCGTTCCCGCATGGATTCAGGCTGGTTGTCCAGGTGGATCTGTGATTCAGCGTGCTGCCGCTGCAGCTCCTCTACCTTGTGACGCTCTCTCTGCAGCCGCACCTTCTCCTGCCGAAAAAGAGGGCAGGGAGAGCATTACTACATCTCCATGGGCAGCAAATATCCAGCCGCTTTTGCTCCACCTAGTAGGTTACCAGATTAGGCGTTCCTTTCCCAACTGTGATCGGCGCTGCGATAAGTGCCGCTTGGGAGGCCAAGTTCTCACTGATGAAATAAAGGCGAAGTCCAGGCTGCAACACTTCAGAGTGCAGGCAGGAGTGCAGTTCAGGGTAGGGTCACCTGGATTCAGTCTACCCATCACTTTTGCCAGCATGGGAAGATTGGAAACTGCCTTGTGCTAAGTCAGACACATTGGTCCATCACATTGGTGACACTGCCCAGCAGTAGTTTTCCAGGTGTCCCTCCCAGTCCTACCTGAAGATGCTGGGATTCGAACCTGAGACCTTCTGCATGCAAAGCAGATGCTCTACCACTGAGCTATGGCCCTTCCTCTTCTCCCACTGAGGAATGGAAAGATATACCGTATTTTTCGTCCCATAGGACACTCCGTCCCATGGGACGCACCTAGTTTTTTTGGGGGGGAATAAAGGGAAATTTCCCCCCCTTTATTTCCCCCCCAAAACCAGGTCGGGGAACAGCGGTATTTGGCGGCGCTCCACCTCCCCGCTGTCCCCTGAGCTTGTGGGGCTGGCTGATGTCTGCCCGAAGTGCGGGGCGCTCTGCTTCAGCGCGCCCCGCGCTCCGTGCAGCAGGCTGCTATCAGCAGCCTAGGAGCCCTGCGGGAACTCCTGCAGGCGTCCCCAGGCTGCGGATATCTGCCCGGCGTGCGGTGCTGCCTGCTTCAGGGCGCCCCGGCTGCAGGCTGCTATCCGCAGCCTAGGGAGCTCTGCGGGAACTCCCACGGGCTCCCCAGGCTTGCTGATAGCTTCCTGAAGCCTGGATAGCGAGAGGGGTCGGTGCGCACCGACCCCTCTCGCTCTCCAAGCTTCAGCGAAAGCCTGTATTCGCCCCATAGGACGCACACAGATTTCCCCTTCATTTTTGGAGGGGGAAAAGTGCGTCCTATAGGGGCGAAAAATATGGTAACTAGTTGCTAATTACCCATATTTTTTACTCTATAAGACTCACTTTTCCCTCCTAAAAAGTAAGGGGAAATATGTCTGCATCTTATGGACGCGAATGAAGGCTGTGCAGCTATCCCTGAAGCTAGAACAGCAGGAGGATTGCTGCTTTAACTGCGCAGTGATCCCTCTTGCTGTTCTGGCTTCTGAGATTCAGAATATTTTTTTTCTTGTTTTCCTCCTCCAAAAACTAGGTGCGTCTTGTGGTCTGGTGCGTCTTATAGAGCGAAATATACGGTAATCAGCATTTTCCTTCTTCCCTGTGTTCTCTTGCTTCTTGTTGTGCTGTTATTCCTCACCTGCTTCAGGCACTTTGAACCTCCCAGCCCATCAACAAGGTGTTGTGCTCTGCTAGGAGCAGACTTTGGACATCAAGGTGGAGATTTAGCGCCCTCCTGTGTGTCAGCACCTGTTAAGTTCCTTGCACTACTTAATTACAGGTACTTTTGAAGATTTTCGGAGGACAGCTTTTTACGCATATATATGCCTGGCGACAGCTTGTTGTTGTTATGCAGAAGTCCTGTGATGTGGGCTACTTGATGACAGCATTGCCTTTTTATTCATATAGGAAGAAAATATCTATTGCACCTGTCATCATAAATGACCTGCAGGGCAGGACGCAACCATTTGCCATTTCTTCCCCACCACACACACAAAAAGCTGAGAGACCTAAGACAAGCAGGGAAACAGTGGGGATGGCCTGCATTGCAAGGGGTTGGGCTAGATGACCCTGGGTTCCCTTCCTACTTTAAGTTCTCTGAGTCTAGGACAAGAAAAAACATAAGGAGGAATATAGACAGCTGCCTTACACTGGTTTATCTAGCCCAGTATTGTCTTCACTGATTGGCAGTGGCTCTCTAGGGTTTCAGGCAGGAGTTTTGCCAGCCCTACCTGGAGATGTCAGGAATTGAACCCGGGACCTTGTGCCTATAAGGCAAATGTTCTACCAATGGGCTACAGTCCTTCCTCCATTCTGTGTGTAGGTGTGGTGGGGTTTTGTTTTCGTTTGACCAAACACCGCTTTTCTGTCAACTTAAGCTTTGCTTTACTGTATTATATAACACTAAAAGGCCAAAGTAGTGAACAATAATAGGGATGATGAGAAAGCCTTTGAATTTCAGTTTCAGTCTCAAAATACAGACAAACAAAGAGCCTCGTGGAGCTTTAAATGCTAACAAATATATTATGGCATAAGCTTTCCTGGACAACAGTGCACTTCATCAGACGTATAAACTGTTACCTTGAGTGGAAGGTATATATATCCATAACATGCATGTGCGTGTTTTAAAGGGAATGTGCACTGAGAGGTTAATGTGCATAGCAACTGGCCATTGTGCATGTTCACCAGGCCTCATGGGGAATGTGCATATAATCTTTCCAATAAGAGGCAATAATGTACATTTCCCATCAACAGACATACTTGCCAACTGCCCTTGCGGAATGTGCATATGTCGACTACATTTGGTCAGAGGTGTGCAATCGGTTCGCTGCCCGGGCTGCTTCCAGACCACTGCCTGATCTTACATGATCCACAACATACCCTCCCACTGATCAGCAGAGCAGTAAGAAGGACAGGAGGCTCCAGATACAGATTATTTTTTTCTGCAGTCCATCCTCTGCCACCTTTTTTCACCTGTTCACCAATCAACTGAGCAGCAGAAGAGGGATTGCAGGGAGATGAAGAATGCAAAACTTCCCTCCCCTTCTCACAGTCCTGATGGACCTTCCCACCATCACACAGGGGGAAGATTCATCCAACTGGAAGAGTTACCCAGCAGGGAAAACAGAGCTGGCAGAGAAAGGGTGTGATCCTACCCATCCTACCTGTGCCATTCATCATCATCTCAGGATGATGCTATCTGGGCGACCACACAGGATCTAAACAAAAAAAATTCCTTCCAGTAGCACCTTAAAGACCAACTAAGTTAGTTCTTGGTATGAGCTTTCGTGTGCATGCACACTTCTTCAGATACACTGAAACAGAAGTTGCCAGATCCTT